CAGCCTCTCCGCTGATGGAAGAACTGAGTGTTGGCGTGCCCCATCGCAAGGGCTGGGTATCTGTGCCTTTTCCAGTGGTAGAGAAGGAGAAAGAAGAGCATGTGTTGAGCACCTACAGTATACGAGGTTCTGTCTTGTCCTTGGACCAGTCCCACCAGGGAGGTATCCTTACAACCAGTTTCACAAGTGAGGGATTTGAGGCTTGGCCAAGGTCAACAACTGGCCCAACATCACATGATTAGTGAGGACCACTGTGAGGACCCTGGCAAGTAGTGTTGTGATTATTACCACCATCCAGACCTGCTCTTTCCTCATACAGCTCAGCCATGAAGCCCACACGCATACCGTCTCCTTCCAGAAGCCACTGTCAAGATGGTGGCTCCCCTGACTGGAAGCAAAGGAAAAAAACGCAAACACGTGCGCATGTCTGAATGCTTGCCATGTGCCAGAGGTTTGCTTTGCTCCTTTCTCATTTACGTTTGTGAGAGGAAGGCTGTGGTCATGGCCGAGCACCAGTGCAGGTCATGTTCCTCTTCCTGAGAGAACTGGAAGCATCTTTCAAGACTTGCTTTGGAGAGTCACCACTGTTTCGGCAGCACGAGCTTGAGGAAATTTGAGTTGGCATTGCACAGTCCTCTCAGCAGCCTCTCGTTACGGCAGGATGGTGTCTTCCCTTGCCGAGAAGGATGCAACTGCCTGTCTAGAAGTCAGAGCAAGAGTCAGAGATTGTCTCAGAGCTAAAGAATGCACTAGGAAGGCAGGGAGCTTGGGTTCGGAATCCCATGACATCATTTAGGCAAAGGCACGAGGTACCGGAGGATATAAACTCAGAGCACAGAAACCCTCCAGAAACACCCGAAGGACCATTAGGCTTCTCTTAATACCCTGCACGCACGGAGCAGACATGATTAAAATAGATTGAAATATTTCATTTTCTTAAAGCAAAGTGATAATTACTTCTGGTATAATTTGCAGATTTAATCGACTTGGTAAAATATTAACTCAGTACCGGGAACGGGTTTGAGCTGATCCTGGCACTTCCTTTCTCCCAATCCTGGCCGTGACCGCTTTCCACGGCTCTCCGGGAAGTCACTAAACAATCATGCTAATAATAGTGTAATTATAATAAGACTCTCTGGCCTCTTTATAGCCCCTTTTAATTCACAGAGCACGCTGGCACGTATTATCACGAATCCCCATAATAACTTTGTGAAGCAGGAAGGTCGAGAACAACCATCCCATTTTACAGAAGTTCAAACAGAGCCTTGGAGAATTAAGTGACTCGCTGTGATCGTTTCCTAGGGCTGTCTTAACACATTACCAAAAAACGGGGTGACTTAAAACAGACGAAACTGAGTCTCTCCCTGTTCTGGAGGCCAGAAGTCCAAAATCAAGGTGTCAGCAGGGCCATAGTCCCTTCAGAGGCTCCAGGGAACACCCCTCCTTGCCTTTTCCAGCCTGATGGCTCCTGGCGTCTCTCGGCTTGTGGCAGCGCCTGTCCCCATCTTGACATGGCTCTTTCCTGTCTCTATGTCTTTGATCTCTCTCTCCTTTCTCTTATAAGGACACCAGTCATTGGATTTAGGGCAACCCCTCCCAAATCCAGAATAACCTCATCCCAAAATCCTTAATGTGATTATATCTACAAAGACCCTATTTCCAATTAGAGTCACATTCATAGGTACTCGGGATGAGAACTGGGGTATATTTTGGGGGGGGGGCACTATTCAATCCACTGTCTTTGCCCACGGTGACACAGCTAGCTCAACTCAGATCTTTTGGGTACCTTTTCTCCCATCAGACTATTGTTATTTCCAGGAAGCCCGTGGTGGCCGCTGGGCCCTTTGCACGTGCTTTGCTCTGTGACACCAGGTCTGGATCCTTTCCCCATTCCCCACGGCCTGGCCCCAGGATCGCCCCTGGCAGCGCCGATTCTGTGGACGGGAGAAGAAAACCAGAGTGATGACTGGCGGAGAATCAGTGTTTTCTATACACCCAGTCTTGACCTTGGCCGTGAAGCCATGTGTGTGGTGCACATGCCCCAGTGGGGCTGAGTCGATCTGTGGGAAGCCCCCGGCCCTGCGATTAGGCCTTCGGCCATTATGGGGCAAGGGCTGGGTGTGTACGCTTTGCCCTGACGCAGCCACTGCTGTGTTATTCACGGGGCCGCCTGCGTTATCGATGGAGAGGGAAAGCCTTACTGTAAGCACCTTGACTGTCCCCTGCAGCCCTGGCTGAAGGCTCCTCTGCTAGAGCCCTGAGCTGATGGGAGGACGGACGGCATCATTTAGACCCAGGGCTTGACTGTCTCTGCTCCTGGCCCATCTCACTGTCTGAACCCTCTCGTCAGGATATGCCAACGATGGTGGATTCGCTCAGTGGGGTGGCCGGGGTGCCGGTATTCTGAGACGCCACGTGTTTTCTGCTGTGTGTGCGCCTTGCTCTCTAGGAGGGAAGTCTAGAGGGTTGGGGGTTCTTGTGCAGTTTCCAGAAGACTCTGGATTGGAGGAAAGCACTAGTCTTACGGCGCACCCTTTCTGTTGGATCAGGCCCTGGCAGAAAAGGCTGGAAGGAAACAGAAACAGCTGTTGGTGTGCCCGTGCCTGGCAGCATCTGAGACAGAGTCCCAGACATCTCACCTCATCCTCCCGCCAGCCCCGGGGCATTGGCGCTGGCCGCCTTTCTGGGGGCCCCTTAGATGGTGGGATATGCAGCCAGGCCAGTCTCGGGCCAGAGGCAGGACTGAGTAACGTGCCTGTGGCCTGACGCAGCCCAGCCTCGTGTTTTCCACCCAGGTGGATAATTTGTTTTTTTGCGACTGCTTAATAATGAATGGCCACATCCTGTCAAGTAAACAGCGGGGACAGACCAGGTCAATCTGGTTCAGTTTGCGTCTATTCAGGCATCTGGACCCTCAGTGTCATTCCAGCAGCCCTGGCAGCCTCCAACGTGACTGCAAACCGCTGCTCCACCTCCTCAGGCCTCCCTGTTCCCCCACACGCTGGGCAGCCAATGGGACCTTTCCCTAGGGAAGCCATCAGACGTCCCCTTCCGCTGGCTTCCTCCTCGTTGCCAGGGTTAGATGGGTGATGCACGTAAGGCACTTGGCATGGTGTTGAACGCGTGGGAACTGCGATGCGAACGTCACTACCTGCCTGTTTTACCACTTCTCTCTCATTTTCTCCTGTCTACCTTTTCTCTCTCATGTCTCAGCCTCAGAGGCACCTCACCTTAACCCAGGGCAGACACCTCCAAGGCGTGTGCACCTCACCCTTCCCTGTCCTCCACTTTCCCACGCCCCAGCTCCGCCCTGACCCCATTTCTAATATGGGGTACACAATTTGTGGGATTTGGAGTCTGACAGGCTGAGGGTTGAAACCCTGGTTTGTGTCCTACACCAGCCAAGGGACTTTGGCATGTGACTTAACTCCTCTAAACATACGATGGGCTCCCTTTCCTGTGTGGGGGCAATACTGGCCGTCTCCCAAGCTAGGTGTGGAAAGCAGATGCTCAGTAAAGGGTGGTCCCCTTCTTTTTTCCTGAAAGAGTGCCGTGTGCAGGGAGAAGCCACAGGTACTTTTAGACTAGGAGGATATCACGCAGAGGTGCTCGCACCTTCTACCTGAGGTGCCCTGTTGTCTAGAAAACACCAGTTTCTCACAGAGGCCTCACTTTTCCTGAAAGCTGATTACCTCTGATGCATGCTTCACGACTTCGGAATTTACCAGTTGTCAAAAATATCCTGGGTCTTAGTGCGGTTACCCAAGTGCCCCTCCCTCTGGGCACCCACAGATTCATCTCCCTCCTGCTCCAGAAAAAGAATCATGTTCCCCCTAGTGACCCAGGCATCCAGATTTATCGGGTGCCCTTCACTTCAGCCCATGCCCTTCATTGTCCCCCTGATGATATAACCCCATCTGGAGCGGAGGTAACTCACTCTAAGTCACAAGAAAAATTAGTGGAGAAAGAAGGCCTTGAACTCGACTCTTACCCCGTCAGACATTCCTCTTCGCCAGGCTGAGTGCTCCCGGAGCGTGGGGATTGTCTCACCCATCTCTGCATCAACAGCACTCAGCCCGCAGTCAGATGTGGAGCGGGTGCTTATTAAAGATTCTGTTGAATTTATGAAGGAATAAATCTGATTCCAAGATAGGCTTTGAGCAGATCCTGAAAATAACTAACAACCTACTCCCTAGGGAGAGTAAGTCCTCCCTCCCTCCTTTCCTCCCTCCCTCCTATTCATTCAGCAGGTGTTTATGTGGCAGGCACAGTTGTAGGTACTGGGGATACAGCAATGAACTGAAGAGGCAATGTCTCTGACCGCAGCGGAGCTTCTTTTTGGTGGGGGAAACAGATCAATACACAAGCAAACAAATTGTTTAAGTGTTGCTGAGTGGTGACAAATACCAGAAGAAAATAGTAAGGCGAGGGACTGGGCAGTGTTAGGACAGGGGTCGGTCCTGGGAAGACCATGGGATTCCTTGACGAAGTCAGGGAGCCAGTCTGACAGATACGGTGCCATGTGCCAGAGGTTTGCTTTGCTCCTTTCTCGT